ATTCATACACATGGCTAAAGTCCCCTTGGAAAACGAAGCTCGCCTGCCTTCCGTTGTGGCTCGTAGATATCTTGAACGCTCAAGACTCCACAAAGCAAGCTGCCCAGGGGTCGACAAAACACCCCAGGAATAATACATCAAGTGTGAGTAAAGCAGAGGCAAAGCAGATAAATACTACAGATTTCTTGTCTCAGCAAGCAACCTCTTCCATCGAGGCCGAAAAGGCAATCCAAATTGCTACGCAGCTACTGAGAAGTAGATGCAACGATCAAACGAGTTTCTACAGAGGCATCAAGCTTCGAGATGGGGAAGCCATCTTAAAGTTCAGAGTGAAAGAGAGCAGGATATGTCCTTATGGAGAGGAACACACGAGCAACAGCTTCAGCCTGATCAGCAATGGGATCACATTGGAGTACCGTTGCCTATCGACAGGATGTAAAGAACGCCCCAGAGTTCTTCTTGGGTTGCATCATTGGCCCTCGCTTTTGAATTCCAAAGCACGGTTTGATCTGCGCCCTATCGAAGAAGCGGAGAGAATCGTATCAAGCAGCAAAAGCAACTTCGACAAAGTGCAGTCTCAAAACATGTGCCAACAACTCACACAGATTGCTATCGACACGATGAACAACTACTTTTGTGTACTAGACGGCAGCTCAAAAGTGCTCTTTATTGAGACCCTTTTCGTTGAAAGAGGCACTGCATGGGTGCCAAATGACAGCATACTCCGAACAAGAGCTGAGTTCCTGGAACGGTCCGAATCATTCAATCTGGACAGCCTGAAGATAGGCAACCTTGGAAAACTGTGGTGCAAGTCATCAGCGAGAAGGACGCTCAGCAAGGTAGTCTTCGAAACGAACTTTCGTGCGGTTTCACCTGACAACTACAACCTGTTCTACGGGTTCCCCTACGCTTACGCAGCGAATCAACCTGTTGACATGAAACAGATCGCTCTCCTCTTGAAGCACATCAAGGAGGTATTGGCCGACAACGATCCTGCTGTGGCGGAGTACATTCTAAATTGGTTGGCCCATTTTGTTCAAAAGCCGTTCAAAAAGATAGGTACTGCTCTCGTGTTTCGATCGGACCAAGGCGCAGGCAAATCGATTGTGACAGATTTTGTGGGCAAACATGTCATCGGATCTCGATACTATCTTTATTGCAATGAAATGGAAAAAGTGATTGGCAAGTTCAATGGAATAGCTGCGAACCTTCTGTTGGTATGCTTCGACGAAGTGAGCAGTTGGGGTGGGGCATACAAGAGTAATAACCGTTTGAAAAGCCTGATCACCCAAGACACAACGATTCTTGAAAAGAAAGGGATCGATCCCCTTCAAGTACCCGATCTTGCTAACTACTGGTTTAATACGAACGAGGACTGGCCAATCAAGAAGGAGGCAATTGATCGCCGTTACGCTTGCTTCGAAGCCTCCGACTCTAGAATCGGAGATCAACCGTACTTCAATCGGCTTTGTGAAAGCCTCACCAGCACTACAGCTGAACACTTCTACCGGTACTTGATGTCAAGAGAAGGCATCGATGCCTGGAACCCCAAGCAAGTTCCAGTAAGCAAGTGGAGCTCTGCTCTCAGGGAGCACTCAATCCCATATTGGGCTAAAATGATTTGCGGTCTGCTGGACAACGGCAACTTTTCAGCAGATTCGAAATCAAAGATGCTAAGCGCCACCATCTTCCGAACATACAGATCCTTCATAGATAATCAAGGCGCGAAAGAGGACCCGCCCCAACAGAAGGACGTGTTGATAGGTCGCATCAAACGGACACTTGGACTGGATGGTTACAAAGACACAAGTGGTCGCGGCTTGATCTTTCCAACTAGGAACGAACTGGAAAAACGGCTGCAAGAAGTCCGTTTGAGAGTCGATGAAGTCCATTGGGACGGATCCTGGGCTTCTGACCCAACTTTACTGATCTCAGCGCTTGATATTTGACAACTTCAACTCTGCACTTATCACTTTCTCTCGTATGTAACCATTGCTGTCCCCCAGTCGTGCAACATCCTCTCTGCTAATTGCTTCCTCTCAGCAATTGAATGATCGTTCGCAAATTGTTCGCTGATGTAAAGGTGTCTAAGGTGGTTTTGGTTCAAACGCTTCCCTGAAGGGAACGTTATCGACCCAGTGAATTTGGTAAGGTAGTTATCGCTCATGGCTTCTGTTGTATCCCCCAACCGAGACAGACAAAAACCTCGAGGAACGAGCTCGATGGATCTTTTGATGTAGTTGCTGAGTCTCTGGCTGAGCTGAAACTCGCGTGTTTCGTAGCGCCGGCTTGTTTTATAGGTCTTCAGTACAAGCACGAAATCGCCATCTGTGCTTTCACGAAGGCAATTTCCAGTATCCTTATATGCTGCCCTGGCTTCTTCGCAAAAGAAGCTTCCGTCCGCTTTCTGGAGAGGGAGACCGCTGAGATCCCTTCTCTTAGGGGGCTCGAGTGTATTGAAGGCTATCAAGAGATGCTGATACACAACTTTTACTTCATCTCTGCTCAGCTTTGATCCACCATTACTTTTATGGTTTGGCATGATGCTCCTCCTTATCTGCCTGTTAAGCTCTTCCGCTTTGCTTTTGAGCTCGTCCATGGTGATCCAGTTCACAGCTTCTTTCACGGTCGCCTTCTGTCCTTCGGCCTTCTTCATTTGAGCCACCTTCTTCTTGGAAAAGCTATCGAAATACTTCTTATGAGTGTCCTCCCAACCCTGCTTGTGAGCCACAACCATCAAAGGGGTCAGCTTGTTACACAATGTACCTGCATTCTCATTATTTTTCACTGAGCTTTTCCAGTATGCTATCAGTGGATTTGATCCAATCCAACGTAGAAGGCAAAACGTTCTTGCCAGTAAGCAACTGATAGGTGATCCGAAGACTGTTAAGATACTGTACAATCGTGATCTCAGCCCTTCCGTCTTGAAATAAGGTGCGCAAAGCCGTCTCGCCTGATGCTATCGTTCGCACACTTTCCTTATCGTCTCGTTCATTTGAGATGGATTCGGAGCTCGATTGAACGGATGCTTCTAAGTCCATTAGTATGCAACTGTATATCCTAAGCAATCCAAAATAATTCTGGAATCTTGAACGAACGAAGCTCCTTTAGATGCGTCTCCTAGGGAATCATGTTCAAGAAATCTTGGCTTCCTAGAATGAACAGCCTGAATCTGATGTATGTTCTTAAGCAAACTTTGCCGTTACCACCTGCAATGGCTTTCGAATCTGCCCGCTTGATTCGATTCTAGAATTCAAAGACGTCAGATGGAAACACGACCGGTTGAAATGCACCTGTAACGATTGGCCGCACTACCACTGTGCTGCGCCAAAAAA